AAGTGTGAGACACCATGTCTAGCCTTAATAAATATTTATCTGGAATTTTCTTCTCTATTCTGCAGTAATTTTTCTTCATAGCTTGGAATAATTCCATGTCAGCTATAAATTCCTCACCTGGTTTTCACTTTTTAACTTCCTTCATTCTTTTTCTTTTCATATTCTCTATGCATAGGTACCATAGTGGGTCTTCTAAATTTACCCCTCCCTTGAGAATGGGGTCATTCCACCAGAGGCTGCTATTTGTTCAAGAGTGGTCTGCATGACTGGGGCAAAGGAATGATCTAAAATGCTGGCAATGTCTGTCCTGGGTGATTCTTTCTGAATATATTCAGAGATAGTTTTTTTTCTAATTTTCATTGTTTGCCTATTTCAGATAAGCAGATCACCCACACAGGAGGTAGGTCTGTCTCACAGAAAATCCTAACTCACAACTGAGACCCATCTCATTTACTTTTAGAGAAATCTGGACCATGCTTGAAATCTGGAGGGTTATGTATCATCTCTCAGCATTCTTCTTCAGATTGATTCCAAATTCACCAATTTGGCAGATATTCTCCCTAGTCTGATTGATACTTGTAGCTCTAGCTATATTTTTTCTAGATGCATTTTTCTTTTCTGCTTTATGTTCCTTGGATTATTTTAATAGGTTACACACTGGAGACTGTAGTAAACAGGCTTTTTACCAGAAGTTCAATGTAGTCCTTTAAAAATAAAAATCTGATATTACCCCTTCATTCTGCTGCCTCCATCATCTGCTTTCCACCCACATCTCCCCTTTTTCTCCTTCACTCTTCTGCTTCATGTGACACTTGTTCTGTTGCTCTCCCTCTGAAAGCTGTGCCCTTGTGCTTCTTGTTCCCTCTCCCTGGAAGGCTCTCTCCTTCATGCCATTTCTTGGTCAATTCCATTTCTACTTCAAGCTCAGTTTAAGGATGCTTTTTCTGAACACTCTAAGCAAATATCCATACATGTTCCCCCACTTACTATATCAAATCTCCCTTCAACATCTGTTAGAAAGTCCCATAAGAACATCTTGATTTCTCTTAATGTTGTAATCATGTGGTTTGGACAACAAATACTGAATTCAAACTTTAAATTGTAATAGTCAAAGGAATTTTCTCTAATCTACACTGGACATGTTCGCAGCAAAGTACAAATGCACTGTGAATTCATTTGAAGTGTTGCATGTTGTGTCTGTTACAGATATTGACACTAGAACAAGCATAATTTAATGAGGGTGTTTAATAATAATGGGTGTTCCAAAAACCTGTATCATAAAGTTCACCAGGGCCTAGGCTACTGCCTGGCACATAGAAGATGCTCAATAAATATTTGTTAAACAAGTGAAAGAAAAAAAAAAAAAAGAAATTCATGTTCTTCTCTTGGGCCACCATAAATTCTAACTTCCTCTGCTTTTTGTGTACATTAAGTCCAGATTCTAAAGAATTGCTTTCTCCTGAGCACTAGAGAGGAGAAGTTATTCATAAATCACTGAGGGGCTTGTTTTGCCTCTGCCATTATTTTAGAGATTTGGGGCACATCACCATCCTTCTGGGATTCAGGCTCCTCGTCTGTAATATACAGGGACTAGATCATGATCTTAAAGGCCTCTTGAAAAAATAATAAAACCAAGACTCCACTGTTCTTGCATTTATTGCTTAGACCAACATACACTGATCAGCTGTTCTGAATCAACACTGGGATGTTTATATTTGTGCAAACAATATTTTATGTCTCCTCCAACAGGTGTTCATGTGAAAACATTGCATCGAATTGACCCCACAGTACCATGGCTTATTAAGAAAAAAATAAAATCAATGTGTGTGCAATGCTAGAAAATAAAGTGTGATGAATGTTTAGAAATTATATACCATGTTTTTCCTAAAATCGAATGTAGGATAGAACAATTTAATTCATCGTTTTATGACCTGAATTTGAAAAAAAATAACTCAAGTTGGAAGAAAAGATCTTCTAAAAATATTTTTAAACAGAAAGAATACAATGTAATTAAAATCAGGAGAACAAGCAAAATTAAATTTACTGTTTACTGTTTGTCTTTTCTTTAGGTTATTCACACCATCAGTGCCACTGATAAAGATGATTTTGCCAATGGACCAAGGTTTAACTTCTTTCTTGATGAACACCTGCCTGTAAATCCAAACTTCACTCTGAAGGACAATGAAGGTGAACATATATACACATATTTGTTTATCTATGTGGTTTCTGCTTTGACCTTATATGTAATAGGCTTTATTCTTATATACTCACAGACATCTTGCAAATCAGCATTCAAAGTCAGTTTGATGCTACTGTGTTATGATCTGTGAATAGCTTGTATTTAAAATTGAGCCACACGTACAAATAATTTTCATTGAATTTATTCAGAAGCATCTCTTTAAACAAGAAATGTACATGTAATATGCTCTTGGACAAATTTTAAGAGAAATCTTAGCTGACAAACTTGTTTATGAGAGCTGCTGCTACTGCTTGGAGGTAGAAAATATTCAAATTAGGAAAAATGAAAAATATATCCTAGAGACAGTTACTAAAGGAAATGCAATGCTTGCAATCATCTTGTATGAGCAAGACTATCAAGATGTGCTGTACAAATTATATTTCCTCTTATTATGAACATTGTCCAAAATATGCATAGAAAGATATGCACAAGTATGCAGAGTATTTTGGAAATTTTTGAATCATTTTTATTTAGCCTTCTGTATTGTGTGGTTAAAAATAATCCCATAATTTAGTAACTACGGAAGTTCCTTCATTACTTAGATGTCCTCTTCGGTACATTTCTCAAGGTTCCATGTAAGTCATTCTTCATACCTTAGGGAAACATTAAGCTATACGGTATGTCCAATTTTCTGATTAGGATCAACTTTTTCTTTCTCCAAACTATATATTTGATTATGTTTATCTGAATATGCTGCTATTTGGAATTTAACAGTTGCCTCAGAATGACATGAAGAAAACAGTGGCACATACATTTTCAGTAAACATTGAATTCCCTCTCTCTTTCCGGGAGAAGATTTTTAAATGTAAGTCACTAAATGACAACCTGCCAAAAGCATTTTTCCCATTTTCCCTAAACATCTTTAAATATAAAAAAGGATCAAAATGTGCACAAAGCCATAAGATTAATATGAACATTTAAAGCTT